AGAAGATGTTATACTTGTCCTTGTATATGTGGACGATATTGTGGTAGCGAGCAAGGATGGGGAAAACAAGAATGTGTTGTTTGAAGCATTGGACCGAGAGTATGGACTCAAGGACCAAGGACTATTGACTGCATATCTTGGGGTTGAAGTTAATCAGACAGAGGAGCAGATTACAATCACTCAGACAAAGTATACACACGAACGTTTGGAGAAGTTTGGCTACGGTGAAGCTCATGCTGTTGGAAATCCCATGGAAGTGAAAGCCCGGTTTGTCCCGTTGGAGGAAGGTGAGACTAGCGACACTAGTTTCCCGTACCGTGAAGCTGTGGGTATGCTGATGTACTTGGCAACAAGTACACGTCCTGATCTGGCATTTGCACTGAGCCAGTTGAGTAGGTTTGTCGCAAACCCATCAAGTAAGCACGTTGGTGCATTAAAACGTGTCCTACGCTATCTTGCGGGTACTGCGAACTATGGAATAACCTACGATCGACAAGAGATGAAGTCGAAGGCTATAGTACTCGAAGGGCATTGTGACAGTGACTGGGTCAATGACCTAGAAACTCGGAAAAGCACGACAGGATTCGTCTTCACATTGGCTGGTGGTGCCATTTCGTGGATGTCGAGACGGCAGTCCATTGTAGCCTTGTCCACTGCTGAAGCTGAGTATGTGGCTGCATGTGAGGCTGCTATGGAGGCGATTGCAGAGAGTGACATCTTACAGGAAATTCTCCCGTACCATACTGTGGAACTACGCATTGGTATTAATAACCAAGCTGCACACGTTCTAGCTACGAATCCTACCTACAGTCGCCGCACTCGACACATTGAGTTGCGTTGGCATTACGTGCCTGAACAAGTGGAACGTGGAGTGCTGAATCTACATAAGGTCAAAGGGGATGAGAATCCTGCTGATGCTTTTACGAAGGCGCTCGACATGGTGCGTCTCAAGAATCTGGTTGCCAGTGTTGGTATCGGAGATACAACGTAGTCAAAGCTGATACTTCGAAGGAGGCGTGTTGGAATCCAGATTCATATCTAGGACCAGAGTCAACGTGAAGTACGAAACGGATGGTCAAACTACGGGACCTGGCACAACTGAGTTGAGCACAAAGGCGCATATAGTGAAGACAAATGGTGCCAGGCCAATGCATGGGAAGCGACTGCAGGTCGCAAAAGAACGTTGAGTTGAGGTGCAGTGAAGCTAACGATTTAATTCATTCCTTCTTTTACCTTTCAGTGAACTGGTGAAGTCCCTAGGGCATACGGATCAAGTTCATTATCCAAGAAACTTTCCCGGAGTTCTGCGACTCAAGATGAAGCGTTGTGAGACCACACAGTGCACGACACTGATAAGTTGACCATACAACTAAACGACCAATGGAGCTTGTTGCTGGCCACCATGCTACAACCTTTGGTCCACTATATTCCAATTTCACGGAAAAGCGCATCAATCAATTTTGGGACGAATAAACGCTATCATGGGTACCTGTGCACTGATAGCAGAGATTTGATTAAATGCATTTTGAGAATGAATGGTATTTCAAGGGTCCAGAGTACGTGAGTCATCCTCGGTGGTGTTGAGCCAGTCGTCTCGTCTAGCACCGACGATCCAGTCCGTCCGCGAGTCATTATCGAAGTCGAAGCCCCCAGAGAAGAGTTTCAGAAGCTCAGCGTTTCTGTTTGCGATATTTTACCTTGATAACACAGCTTCGCTGGCAGCCCGACCAACAGTACGGATGAGTAGCTCTTTGTTCTTAATTAAATACTTTTTGATAGCGACATACT